GAGATCAAGACCTAAGTACCTAGAATAAATCACTTCTCTCTCTGAGCCTAGTTTCTTCATCTACAATATGGGATAATAATCCCTGGTGGCATCTGCCAACCTCACAAGACTGCTGTGAGGACCGGATGATATCCTGTGGGTACAGATGCATGGACCATACCAAAAGGCTAAAATAGTTGTAATGTTAATCATCTTCAGCATGATCTCCATTGCTAGGGAAACCAGTTATTGTATCTTGTGCATGTGAATTTACTTATGTAAATAAGATCTGCCATTGCTTGGCACTTAGATTCTATCTTGAGATCTCAACAGACATAGTTTACATGGGAAAATCTTCTTTATCCTTACCATGTTGAAGCACACAAAACAATATGAATTTTAGGAATTTGTGGAATAAATAGAGTTGTTCTCCAGATGCAAAGGCAGCCTGGTATAGTTGACAGAAAGCTGGCCTCAGCCAGAAGGACCTAGGTTCAAGCCTCACCTCTGACACATACTGGCCTGCGTGACCCTGGGTAAGTCATTTGACTTCTGAATGTTCTAGCAGTCTCTTTAAGATATTAAGTTATAGAAAAGGTGCCCACCTGTGTTTCCTCACCTGAAAATTCTCTATTCCATCAAAATCACATATCCTATACTATGATTCTCTGGATAGCAATATTTAGTTCATTTGAGGGAGAGAGAAGAGAAAAGCTCTGAGTTCATAATATAGGAAATGCTTAATTTCAAAGTCACAAAATATAAATATTTATACCCAGAAAGTGACTATTATCAGGGAAAGGTTAATTTGATATTTCAAAGGTAGCACTGAAAAATTGAAGGCAGCTCATAATAAAAGCCAAGGTTTTCTTATTCTTTGCATATTAATTTAAATACCTAAGGAATGTGGTTTAGTCTATCCTAATAGAGGAAAATTCTTTGTAAGATTTCAGCTATTCTTAATCATTAGTAGGCCCTCCCCCATATTGTACAACCTCCTCCCTTTTTTTCCCCTGGATTTATACAGAGAATGATAATTATACTTTTAACTGTGAACAGAAAATTATGTGCTTTTAATGAACTGAAAGAGAAAAATTAATTTCATCTTAATACCTTTAGTAAAAGAATATTTGAACAGTTTTAATGAAGGACGAGTTTCTTATAATCAACTGAAAGAAGAACAACAGAAATTATACATTTTGAAATCTTTGTATTTTATTTTGAACAAAAGCCAAATTCACCTCTAATTCCTACATCTAATCTTGTGTAGCATTTATTATTCATCCAATAGAAATTAATAGAAATTTATCTTGTGACAGATATTTCATGTGCACCACACATGATTGGCCTTGTGGTTGCTTTACCATTGCTGTATTGAAGGATAGTACTGTGGAATTTTTGCTTAATGAATTTTAGGAAAATCATGGCAAGACATTTTAACTTTGCAGTAAACCAGAGCTGACCCATAAAATTAAGAACTAGTTATCCTTCACCACTTACCAAATACTCCTTGAATAGTATTGTAATGAAATACTCCTACTGCAGAGTAGAACATAAGCACTATGAAAGATGGAACACATTAGCAATAACTCTGGTTACTCTTCCCACTATCAAGTCAAGAAAAGAAGGCCCCCAACTGGTGCTGTTTAAAAAAAACGAATGACCTTTTCACGTGAATCTTCTTTTCGTTTGCTAGTGGGGATCAGAAAAGATTCCTACAGAATGCTTTGGGAAGCCCCCAGATTTGTGCAAATAACGAATCCTCAGAAGTGGTGAAGTAATTTGAATTTGTACTACATATTTCCATTGGGCTAGAACCAATTACCATATTTTACACAATTATAATTTCATATAATGTGAATTCAAATACATGTGATTTCTTCAGGGAATTCATTTTTCAAACAAATTGGAATCTAGCTATAGTTTCTAGGAACTGCTTTAAAAAAAAAGTGAAAAGTGCCCAAGCCACCATAGTTTTATAGAATCATACATCTCAAGGCCATAGAGTATAGTTTCATCATTTCACAGAGAAGAAGCCTGAGGCTCATAGAAGGTGACTTACTAAAGCATCAAAGGTGGGATTTGAACCGCCAACTTCTGATTCCTCTGAAGGAGCCAGTGTTCTTTCTACTGGACAGTCTTTTATCATAACGTTAGGTGTAAGGTTTCTGACTCAAATTTATGCATGGCTTCTGGTATTTTCAGCAGAAGCTCTTTAGGCGTTTCTTTCAATCCATTCTCCTTTCCAGTTTCTCATCAGGCCAACATTGAGGGTGTCATTAAAATGATATAAAACATGTTGACATTTATACCTCAATACTTCAAGGATGTATGATTCATTGGTATGGCTGCTGCCATCCCCAACACAGATTGTAACCTCTCTATGTAGTTGGCCTTCATGGGGTTGCTATGGGCAGGGAAAAAAATCATCCCCTAGAAGGCTAAATCTTCTGGCAGTGTGCCTTTCCAAACTTACAGGAAAAACAGTATCACTGGGCCTGAACTTTAAGCCTTTGTGGGCTTCTGGGACCTATCAGAATCTTGGGTATAAGGGCACAGCCTTGAGGGGCCCAGGGTCACATCCCTATTAAAGCTTAAAACTGCAGTAAGACTTTTGGGACACCCTGTATAAAGACTTTAATGCGGTTCACAATTATTATAACCAAAATTATTTAAATTTATTTTAAAAGTTAAGAGGTTGTAGTCTATATCCTTAGATCATGTCATTTACCTCTTCCCCATTCTTCTTTAATTTCTAACGTTTGTTTTTTTCTGAGATTGCATCAGGACTTCTCTCTTATTAACATCTAACTTCTGTTGATTTTGTGTGTGGGTGAGAGAGAAAGAGAGAGATCATTAATGTGGGTACTTCCACTGTGAGAAGGAACCCAGAATCCCCATTGTACTCAGACCCAAACTCCACTGTCCCCTTCCTAATGGTGATAGTCCCCTTCAAGCCCACCACCTTGTGAAATGGCCATGGCTGCTTACAAAAGCTTGTATAAGCAGTGAATTGATAACTACCATACCTCTGATAAGACATAGGACCAACAGGTCGTATTATCTGATCTGGCTCTGCCTTCTGAGGTCTTCCAGATCTTACCCCTTACCCAACTACTATTCCAGGGCACTGCTATCTCACCTGCCAGTGAACCCTAAGGACTCCTGAGCCATGCCATCTGCCCTGCCCCTGTACCTGGGACCTATGGATCTTTCCATCCATACTTCAGTTGACTCTCATATATATTTTCTTCCTCAATTAAAATGTGAACTTGCAGGAACTCTCACTTTTTTTTTATTCCAGGCATTTAACAAAGTACTTGGCACTTAATAATAATTATTCATTCATTCTCCAGTGGTATAGACTGTGACCTATCCACACATCATCCTATGTCCTTCTTGTTCATGAACTCCCATAAATCCTCCATAGGGCCTCCCAAACCTGCTGGGAACTTTCTGGGATATTACATGGATTACAGTACATCGTTCATTTACTATTTGTGCCCAACCAGTGGGAGAGCCTTCCAAGCTCACACTGGTCTGATCAGCCACAGTTGGACCCACTGTACCTTGACCCCAGCATAGTCAGGTCATTTTGGTCATCTTCCAGCACAGAGGACAACAACCACTATTACATGACGACCATTGAATCGTACAGTTGTCTTTTGTCACCTGCTCTCAATAAATGACCTACCCACTTTTTTTTCAGGCCATAGGTCTCTTTGATCATACCTTCTGCATTGTTTGTTGTGGCATGAGGGGTCTGCCATGTATATGTTTATGATCCTAACATCATAAAAGATTCCAAGCCAACAGGCGAAGTTACAATGATGATTAGTTATACTGATATAGCTCTTTCAGGTTTACAAAGCATTACATATATTATTACATATATATATATATATATATTACATTATCTCATTTGATCTTCACAACACCCCTGCGAGATTGCCAGCAAAGCTGTTATTATCCCCATTGTATATATGAGCAAACTGAGGCTGAGGAAAGTACAGTGGCTCACCTTTGGTCACACAGCTAGTAAATAGCAGTCAGAATTTGACCACAAGTGTTCTTTCCATTATACCATACTGTTTTGTACCCAAGAATTTTAATTTGTTGTTGTTGAGTTGTCTTTCAGACGTATCCGACTCTTCATGACCTTATTTGGGATTTTCTTGGCAAAGATACTAGAGTGGTTTACCATTTCCTTCTCTAGCTTTTTAGAGATAAGGAAACAGGCAAACAGGGTTAAGTGACTTGCCCAGGGTCACACAGCTAGTAAATGTTTGAGGCCAGATTTGAACTCAGGAAGAGGAGGGTTCCTGACTCTAGGCATGGCACTCTATCCATTGTAGCACCTACCTGCCTCAGTAAATAATAATAAAATATTGGGCAGCTAGGTGGCACAGTGGAGAGAGCTCTGGCCTTGGAGTCAGGAGGACCTGAATTCAAATATGACCTCAGACCCTTGACACTTAGTAGATGTGTGACCCTGGGCAAGTCACTTAACCCTGTTTGCCTCACCAAAAAAATAGTAATAATAATAATAGAATATGAAATGTTATTTACAGAAAGGTGTTCATCTCATACCCCCTCCCTCTACCCCAGGATTATGGTAAATAATAACAATCAAACAATGATTAAAATATTATTTAAAAAATTAAAACTATTCACAAGTATAATCTAATTTTTTTTGAAAGGAATTCTTTCATGAGGCTCTAGGGAAGAAAGGGCTTCCATCCATTTTAGATATTGGACAAGAACCTATAGAGAAATTGAGCAATTCTAGCATAGATTTTGATGCCCATCTAGGTAGATAGAAGAAAAAAAACAGCTGAACAATGAAAGCTGTGGCTCTGGAGGAGTGTTTCTTAGTCAAATGCTTTTCAGGGTTTTCACCACAGGCGGCTTCTAGCAGTTGCTTACAGGCCTTTAAAAAAAAAAAAAAGGTGTAAAGGTGTGCATTATTCTCATACTTGTTATTTTTCACTCACCGAGCATCTGCTCCTGTTCTTATCTAGATGACTCAAGAGGAAAGCACCAGAAAAAAATTCAAAGTAAAACTCAGAATTATCTGAACCTCTATGCTGTGGATGGATTACGTACCTTATGTATAGCCAAGAAGGTAAGTCAGCCTAGATTTATGGAGGAAAGGTGACAGTGGTCAAAATTCTCCTTAGTTCTACTGACAAGTCAGCCATTGGGGTGGGAGAAAGAAGAGGGAGGTGTTCTTGGAAAAAAAAGGGGAAGGGGAAGGCCTTTTTTCCCCTCCTCAATTTTCTTTATGCTGTGCTTATTTTTCCACATCAGGGGTTTTTAACCTGGGGTCTGTGACCTTTACGCACATACACACTTACACACACATCTACATGTGTATACATATATACATACATATATGTACATACATATACACAAATATATATCTATACACAATGTATTTATGTGTGTATATACAAATTGTAATATATGTATATATACATATATGTGTGTATATATATGAGTATAATTAGTTTCCTTTGTAATCCTACATATTTTATTTTATGGTATTCAGTCATGGTCACCTAGGGTCTGAAATGGTCTCTGAACATCCTTTTCAAATAGGTTCTAAGTAAAGAAGAGTATGCCTGCTGGTTACAAAGCCATTTGGAAGCAGAATCCTCACTGGAGAACAGGGATGAGCTGCTGTTCCAGTCTGCAATCCGTCTGGAGACCAATCTACACCTATTGGGTAACTATGTGCTTAAAGCCCAATCTAATGGCGACAAGGCTTTTTAGAGAAAAGCTTTAAAGAAAATGAGTTTCTGAGCTATATTTGACATGGCTCCAGCCGGTAACAGAATTAGCCGTAATTCAGAGGTTGTTCAAAGAAACTCCTGGGACAGCATTGGTCTGGGGTCCCCCAGGAGCAGCCATGACCCCGGTCAGCGGTCAGCTCATTTGGCCTATCTTTAAGTCTTTCCTTACACAGTATTGTTAAGCAGATGCTTTAAATGGCTCTCCATAGATGGGGAGAAAATGGTACCCTACCAAAAGAAGCATGAAGAGTTTCTAAGTTTTCTAAGTTGTACTCAGTACCCCAAACTTTTCTCAGTTAAAAAGGACAGGCTTCCATGCGACATCATGAAAACTGTGACTTACCATGTATAGGAATGCATTGTACAGAAATATAAAAGGAAGGTGAACTTTGGTGATTAGTAGGCACTCCCTTTGAAATGCTTCTGTACTGCCTGTCATATTCAAGTCATATCATTAAGCAATGATAATGAGGGGTGACCAGGCCTGTAGTCAGGAAGACTTATCTTCTTGAGTTCGCATCTGGCCTGAGATACTTACTAGCTGTGTGACCCTGAGCAAATCATTTAACCCTGTTTGCCTCAGTTTCCTCATCTGTCAAATGAGCTGGAGAAGAAAACAATAAACCACTCTAGTTATCTCTGCCAAGAAAACCTCAAATGGTGTCACAAAGAATTGGACATGACTGAAAAACGACTGAACAATAATGATAATAATAATATTTTGACAGCTTTATGGCTTCCAAAGTGCTTTCCTTATTTCTGGCCTTATATCATGCTATTTGCCTTCATAGACTCTTCATTCCAGCTGAACTGGACTAGAAGTCAAGCCCAGTTTGACTGAGTTCATAATTCCCCAAAATTCCTCTGGTGTGCATTATTCTCACGCTTATTATTTTTCACTCACCTGCTTTTTGCTTGCATTCTTACCTAGATGATTCAAGAAAAAAGCACTAAAAAAAATTTAAAGTAAAATACAGAATTATCTTAACCTTTATGCTGTGGATGGGCTGCCATTTTTACCATCTTACAGGTTCATGGATATGGGGTTGGGAGGGGTCTGAGAGGATATCAGTCCAACTCCCTAATTTTAGAGTAGCTGTTACCCAAACTCATTCTTTTATCTCCTGCCTCTCTTCATTTACAAAGGCCATCCCCCATGATTGGGATACATTCTTCCTACCCTCCCCTTTTCAACATCCTTGTCTTCTGTCAGGGCTCAACCCAGGTATGACATCCTCTGTGACACTTTCCTTGATACTCACTACTTAGGTCAGTGCTTTTTTCCTCCTCCTCAATTTTCCTTATACTATATTTTTTTCATCTATATTAGGTGTTCTTAACCTGGGGTCTATGAACCTTTTTTTAAAATTTATATTGGGAGGGCAGCTGGGTGGCACAGTGGATAGAGCATCGGCCCTGAAGTCAAGAGGACCTGAGTTCAAATCCGGTCTCAGACCAAACACTTGACAGTTAACTAGCTGTGTGACCCTGGGCAAGTCACTTAACCCCAACTGCCTAAAAAAATTTTTTTGGGGGGCAATATTTTAGTATAATTAGTTTCCTTTGTAATCCTTCATATTTCATTTTATTCATTTGAAAACATCATTTGGAGAAAAAGGTCTATAGGCTTCATGATACTGCTAATGGAGACTATGACACAGAAAAATATAAGAACCTGTGCTCTGGGTCTCATATTCCACTCTAGTAGAATGCAAGCTTCTTGGGGGCCAGGACTGTTTTGTTTTTGTCCTTGGAATTCTTGTTGCTTCTGTCTCCACAGCATTCTCAGGCATATGTCCTCTCCTCTCCACTCACTCAGTCACTACCCTAGTTTAGACCCTCATCTCCTCTTTCCAGAGTTACTGCAATGGCCTTCTTTTGGTCTCTGTGCTTCACGTTTCTCCCCACTACAATCCCTCACCTAGCTGCCAAAGTGATTTTCCCAAAACTTAACATAATCACATTACCCCCAACCCCTATTAAACATCAGTGGATTAAATATAAATACCTCTGTTGGATATTAAAACTGTTCAACACCTGTCCCCTTCCTACCTTTCCAATCTTAATATACTTTATTCTCCACCTTGAACCCTGAATTCCAGCCAGTGATCTGCTGGCCACTTTATCTCCATTCCTTTGCACTTGCTGTCCGCTGTGCCTGGGACATACTGCTTCCTTACCGCCATCTCTTAGAAATCCTGGTTTCCTCCAGGATTTAGCTTGAGTGTCACCTTCTTCGTGAGGCCTTTCCCGGGCCCCCCAGCCACTGTTAAACTTCTTCCCCAAACTACCTTTTATTCATTTTGTAGTAGATTCACATGCACATGTTGTCTCTGTCATTAGAATGTAAGTTCCTTGAGGGCAGGGACTATTTCACTTTTGTCTTTATATTCCAGGCTCTTAATCCAGTTTCTTGAACACAGTAAGGGCTTAATAAATGCTTAGTGATTGAGTTGCATCCCCTGTACATAATTGGCACTTATTAAGAGATTTCTTGAATTAAATCAAACTCAGAGTGAAAAACTATCATAAAGTGCTGTGTATCATATAGACTTGGTTATACAGAGGGGTAAATCACACCACTTGTGTACATGGTGAAATGTCAGCTGGGTTGTTCATCTTTTTTGGTTTTTGAAGAGGACCAGTGATATCATAAAGGTAATGTCTTGACTTATCTATGAATTGGATTTAAGCTTGCATCAATGATATCAAACTCGTAGAAAAGGGGGACACTAAACCATACGTAAGGATCCTTTAGAAAGCCATATATTAACATTATCTATGTTTTGTTGTACCTTTATTATGTTACCTATTTCTTTATTACGTTTTATCTGATCCCAGAGGTGGCAGGCTATGTGTCTGATATCTGTTTTATAATTTCTCTTTCTCTAATACAGAAATTCAGGTGTTCTCCTTATTCTTTATGAACCAGCATCATTATAGGGTTTTACTGTGCCTGAAATGTTTGAATGATTCTCAAACTTACTTCCCAAAGACCTTACCCCCACAGTTCCCAGGTATGGATTAACTTAAGTATATAAAAATTTAAATTATCTCTTTAAGACCTCCAGGTCACTATGAAACAAATTTGGGCTTTCCATACTGTGTGTTTCCATAGCAGACTGAAACACCCCTTGCCATTTTCTAAACTGAAACACACCTTGTTTATACCTGAGGGAAGAAATAGCATATTCTGTAACCAGATCTTGCTATGTGTATTTAATATATTTAGAGGTTTGGGGGTATTTTTTAAATTAACTTTGCTTTTGAGTATAGAACATAAATATGAATGGTCTTTATTAGTTGAAGTCAGTTACCTCTTTCAAAGATCCTATCTGGAGGACACTGTGATACAGTGGAAAGCTCACTGAATTTAGAATGAATGAAAAAGCAGTCATTCATTCATTCATTCATTCATTCATTCACAGCAGAAAGATCACTGGCTTTAGAGTCAGACAACCTTGGTTTGAATCTCCGCTCTGCCCCTTATGACCATTTTGACCTTGGCTGGTCACATTCCTTAACTTCTCTGGGCCTCAGTTTCTTCATCTGTAAATTGAAAGATTTAGACTAGGTAGGAGGTGTCAGACATGGGACCTGTGGGTCTCATGTGGCCTGCAATGCTCCAGAGTGTAGTTCAAATCAGATTAAAATTTAATGGGGAAATATTTAACAAAATACATAAAAATACAATGAGATATACGTAATACATTATATTGACTTATTACATTAAGTCAATATGTGCCCTCCAGGAATTCCTTGTGTATGGTTTAATGACCTCCTGTTTTTATTTGAATTTGACTGCACTGGACTAGGTGGTTTCCAAGTTCCCTCCAGCTCAAAAATCCTATGTTCCATTTCAATAACCATTCCTCTATTTCAGGGCTTCTGAACCTAGGCTCAGTAAACTTTTTAAATTAGAATTATGATAATAGTATTTCAATATAATGGATATCCTTTTTAATCTCATGTATTTATTTCATGCATTTACAAACACCCTTCTGAGATAGGATTTGTGGGCCTCACCAGTCTGCCAAAGGGAGCCGTGAAACTCAAAAAAGGTTAATAGCCTTTGATCAATGAATGTCCTTTCAGATTGGAGCTGGAAGGGACCTTAGAGATCATCTATCCACCTGCTCATTTTACATATTAGGAAACTGAGGCCTGATTCACAAACATCATGAACAGAGGAAGGATTCAAACCCAGGTTCTCTGACTCTAGACCATGTTGTCTTCTTTTCATTCTAGCGTTTGAATTAAGTTGCCACTGAGAACAGCAAGAGAGGATTGACTCATGCAGGGAAGGGGGACAACAAACAGTCAGTACATTAGCATTTGTTAAGCACCTACAGTGTGCCGGTCACAGTGCTAAGTGTTGGGAATACAAAAAAAAAGATTTTCCTTGCTCTGGAATTTTCTTTCCCAACTACTTAGGGGATGGAGTTTTGGTACTAGGGTAGAGGTCAAGAACTTTCATTCACAGGATGCCATTCTACTTACTTTCCACATTCTGGTTAATTTCCATCAGCATCATTTGAAAATCTTCAGCTGGTGAAATCCTTCTTTTCTCTCATTAAAAGCTGCCTGGCATCTGTCTCCCAGTGATATATAGGGGCACTAACTTGGCTCTGAACTCTCACTAACTACTCTTGTTATAATGCTCTAACTGCCTGGCACTCCCAAGGATCATGCTATAAAGAGGGTGGCATTTACCCAAAGTGTCATAAATCATCTGAGCAAGCTACCTTGGAAAACTGAAGAAGGGCATTTTGCTTTAGACAATTCTAAGAGCTCTGCTCCCCTGGATTTACTATTTATCTTCAGCCATATTTCATTTTGAAACTAATGTCATTACTTCCATAACTCCATTTATACATGCGGTTATTTTCTATGGTTGGTTCAAACTCAGGAAAACTGATAGGTAAAGAGTGGAAGGATTAAAATGGTAGAACTCATGTTATTTCAGTGTGTGTAGGCCCACAGTCAAGCAGGTTATACATCTCAAGGGCTGAATTAGTTGACTCTACGGAAAGTTGTCCCTGTGATGAAGCATTTATTTATTCATATACATAGACTTTTAGAGTTGGAAGTTACCTTAGGGGTCATCCAGTCCAACCCCCTTCATTTTATAGGTGAGAAAACTGAACCACGGAGAGGTTACCTGGTTTCTGGCCAAGCTAGGACTAGAAGCTTACACTTTGTTAGTCTGTTCACTTACCTAGGTGGTTTTTCATTGTATGAGTATACCTTTTGAAGAGCACTGGACTTGGAATCAGGAAGGTTGGTCATTATGAGTTCAAATCCAGCCTTAGACACTTATTACCTGTGTGACCCTGGGCAATCACTTAACCCTCTTTGCCTTAGTTTCCTCATCTGGAAAAGAAAATGGCAAACCATACCAGTATCTCTGCCAAGAAAACCCCAAATAGAGTTGGACATGACTATATAACAGAACAACAAAAACATTTTTTACTCTTTAAAAAAAATATGCTAAAAGCAATATAAATGAAAATTAAGCTTATCTTTCATTTTATTTGTCAATATCAAACTTTAAGTCCATTAAGAATGATTTTCTGTCAGGAAATTATGTACTTACAGCAGTCTGCTTAAATAGTCAGTGTTAAGCCCTGAGCGGAAAAGCCTTGGGATTTTTTACTCTTTCACCAGAAATTTGTTAAATGAAAGGCATTATTTCTTTTTTTTTTTAACTTTTTCATCCCTCACTGTGGGGCAGAGGAGAGAGATTATCATTCCCACTAAATACACATAATTGTAACATGAGTCAAAAAAAAGATTCGAGATACTATGTTGCAAGTACAGAGAATTAAGGTTCTCTGAATTGTTAATAATTCCAGTTATTCCCAGCTGTATCTAATTTTAAATACTATTTAAAGTCTTGGCTGTTGTACCCTAATGATGAATCACAGCAAAGTTGCCCTCAAAAAATCAAACTCCCTGTCATCTTGATAATAGAAATTTAAAAAGAAAAAAAAAAAATGGCCAGCTGCAGATTCAAAGTTGAAAGAGGCTAGCCAAGATGTCATTCACAAGTGAGTTCTCATGGGAGATCCATATTTATTCTAAACTAAGGTTCACAGGCCATTTTTAACATCCGGGGGTGGCGTGGGGGAATACTATTCACTGACTTTTGTCATTAGGGGCGACGGGCATCGAAGATCGCTTACAGGATGGTGTCCCAGAAACTATTGCTAACTTGCGACAGGCTGGACTGCAGATATGGGTTCTCACTGGGGACAAACAAGAAACAGCTGTTAATATTGCCTATGCCTGCAAACTGCTTGACCATGATGAGGAAATCATTACTCTGAATGCTGAATCACAGGTAGGCATTGACTCTAACTGATGCAACATGATGGTGACAACCTGGTATCCATAGTCTCCCAAGAGCACTATGGAAAAACTCAGATAGGTGATTAATTTGATAGCCATGATGAAAAGGTGTGGTTGCTTTTCTCCCCCCCACCCCCAAACTTCCTTCCTAGGTACACCTATTCTGGGTTTTTAGTGGTTAGAGTTGTTTGTCATTCCACACATTGTTAGTGCTACAGTCGCTCAAACTTTTGAACCAATAGCATTGATATCTGGGCTTTGTGAATGTAGAGTTTGCCTTGCTATTCATTGGCGTGTAATCCGAGAAAATAGCAGCATGGGATTTAATGATGGGTCACACCTCCCCAGAAAAACAAAGTAAGGCAGACAAAAGTTATTTTAGAAGCGAATAAACCAGAACCCTTTGATTTTTTGATACCTAAGTTTAGTCAAGGAAGAATCTTCCTAGTAGATGTGCTTACATTTATTCACACAGTACTCATTGAGCATTTACTATGTACCCAGCATTGTATGAAGCACTGTGGGGGTTACAAAGAAGTATAGGACCCAGTCCTTGCCCTCATAGAACTTACTGTCCAGTGGGAGACTGGCAGCCTTACTCAAAAGTTCTATCCCCCAGCCCTTTGTTTATGGAACTACATCTTATGTAAATTTCTCCTCATTGTCTCTTCCCCAGTCTTCTAGGAAGCTAGGTGGTGCAATGAATAGAGCACTGGATCTGAAGTCAGGAAGAACTGAGTTCAAACCCCACCTCAGACACTTAGTAGCTGTGTAACACTGAGCAAGTCACTTAATCACTGTTTGTCTCAATTTCCTCATCTGTAAAAGAGGGATAATAGCCCCTGCCTCATAGGGTTGTTGTGAGAAACAAATAAAATAATATTTGTAAAGCAAGTAGCACAGTACATAGTACATAGTAGGTGCTTAATAAATGCTTATTGTCTTATAACTGAGTTCAAATCCCACCTCAGATACTTACTAGTTGTGTAACACTGGGCAAGTCACTTAATCTCTGTTTCCCTCAATTTTCTCGTCTGTAAAAGAGGACTAATAACCCCTACCTCACAGGGTTGTCATGAGGAACAAATTAAATAATATTTGTAAAGCAAGTAGTACAATGCCTGGCACATAGTAGATGCTTAATAAATGCTTATTTCCTTCCTTCTTTCCAGTACTTCAATGCATTGGATATGACTAGGTACATTTCCCAACAGGCAGTTGACTGAAAGCAGATATAACAGTTTAGGAAGGATGAGGCCAATTAAAAAGCTTTAAAAGGCCTCAATAAGTATGTATCACTGAGTCCTTTTTCATAGAGGCATCGGTTTAGAAGGAATTCTTAAAATAGCCCTTTTTTAGAAGCTGTATATAGTGACTTTTTCAAGTGCTTTGCACTAAGTCTGAGATACTTCTAGTTTTCCAAAGAAATCAAGAGGAAGGCACCAAAGAAATACAAAGAATTATTTCCTGGGCTTCTGTAACATGTTACAAAAATGAATTACTGGTATCATTGCCAGATTAATCTTCTTATGTACAGATCTAGTTATATCACCCTTGTGCTCTAGACCCTTTAATGGCTCCCCATTACTGACTAAATAACAACTAAGATCCTTAGCTTCCCATTCAGATCGCTCTCCAAAATGGTACCACCTTTTACCTCTCCAGCCCCATCTCATAAATGCAGTCAAACCAAATTACTTCCTGTGCTTCCTTGCCTTCTTCCCTTTGCTCATATGATCCCAAAGTCTAGGAAATTCCCCTCCCTCTAAATTTCACCTGTTGAATTCACCCTTATCCTTTGAGATTTAGTTAAAATGGTTCCTCCATCATGAAACCTTCCCTGATGTACCTCCCACCAATAGTTCTCTTTCCTCCTTCAGTCAGCATAGAACACTTGAACTTCTCATTCACTTAGATTTTTCATTATATATAATATTTATTCATATATATTCATATATTTAACTTTTCCCCTTCCCTCCAAACCAAACCAAAGCTCTATCATAAAATGGCCCATATCCTATTTAATTTTTGTATCCCACCCACCTCTAGATAGACTAGGGATTTACTAATGTTGACTGAACTGAATTATGAGGTTTCCCACAGTGAAAAATTGAGGTATCTGTCACTATAATATAAATAATTGGTTTAGATTCTTATATGATAAAGGGAAAGTTTTATCTTATTTTCTGAAACTTCTTAAATCAGTACCTCAAGTTTTATTCCAAATCAAAATTTGTTCTAAGAAATTTAATATATCTAGTGGGTAAACTCATAATGGATAAGTTTTTCTTTAGGTCCTGTTGCTGTTTTGTTTTTGGTGTTCAGTTTTGTTTTGGTTTTTGTGTATTTTGTTTCAGGAAACATGTGCTGCTTTATTGGAACAGTGTTTATACTATGTGGAGTCAAAATTTTCAGACAGTGGAGTGAAGAAATCTCTTGGAAAGGTGAACGTTGGGGTCACTTCTCTCCACCCGCCTTCCCCATCTGCTGCCGCATGCCCCAACTTAGGCCTCGTGATCGATGGGAAAACTCTGGCATATGCACTGGACAGAACCTTGGAAGACAAATTCCTTTCTCTAGCTAGGAGATGCCGTTCAGTCCTCTGCTGTCGATCTACTCCATTACAAAAGAGCATGGTGGTAAAGCTGGTCAGAAACAAACTGAAAGCCATGACCTTGGCAATAGGCAAGTATGAACAGTAGGCTGAATGAATAATGGATGGGTCCACCTGGTGTAGACTTAAATAGCCCTTTTTCAAAGTCTTATTACAAAGTAACATTTTTGTTCTTTATACCATGCCACAAACAAATCTCCCTGGATTAAAAAAAACAACAACAACTTCCTAATTTATTTTAAAATTATGCCTAATGCTGAGAATTGCCAGAGGGTATGATGAGTAGCAAAGAGAAAATGCATGATTTCTTCAGTTACTCTGTGGACCAGTATTTTGTATTGTAGGTAACTCTTCTATTGAGGTAACTCCCAACCTTTCCACACCTTAGGAGAAAATCATTATGGGTTGCTGTGGTAAAATGTTCATTGCAAAGTGGCCAAGCCTTTAGTCATATAGTTCTCTGAAATTAGCAAGAATGTTGTTCAAACAGTAGACTCAAAGGCCATGGTTGGATCCACTCACTCACTCATATTCAGAACCTTAATCGCACCCCTGGCTTTAGCCCTCGTCAATTCAAGCGAACCTCTATTCCATGACCAAAGGATCCAAGTAGGATTTCGAACACAGAAAATATATAAAATATAGTAGCAATAGCTATCAGCATATATTAATATGTCACTAATAAAATAGAATGTAGAACTTGTCCCATACTTTAGAGGGTGGTAGTAAGAGTATTAGCATTTAAAAATGCTTTCAAGTTTTCAGAGTGCTTTACAAATATCTCAGTTTATCCTTACCCCAGCCTGGGGAGGAAGGTACAATTATTATCCCCATTTTACATATGAATAAACTGAGGCTGACAGAACCTAAGTGACTTGCCCAACATCACACAGCTAAGTTAAGTGTTAATTGTCTAAAGACACATTTGAATTTAAGTCTTTCTGATTCTAGGCCCAGACCTCTATCCATTTCATCAGTAGCTGCCCATTACTAAGTCAAGGCAGATAGTCAATACCATCAATAAGGTATCTATAAGTGGCATTGTCATTTATTGCCTGTATGACTTCAACCAAGTCACTTTATCTCTCAGAGAGTGTTTCCTTATCTTTGCATAAGACCAAGCCTAGGCAAAATCAGGAAATGGGCAAGTTGCTATGCTATACTTTTGTATCCTTCTCTAACCTTTTGGGCCTCTGTTTCCCTCCTCACTCCTAAGTATCCAGACTCTCTATTACTCTCTGGCAGCCTTTCCTTTCTGATTGCTGGTTCTTCTCCACTGCCTCACTTAGATGCTTCAAAATATTCCTCCATCCTTCTTCCCCTTTTATAAGGTCCATTCTCTCCAGACAGTCAAATTTAAAGTTGTTGGGAGGACAGCATCTGTTTGAGCTTATTAGCATCAAGATATGATTGCCCCTAAGGAAATTTGCCTTTTTGGAGATACATTATTAATCCAAATGGTGAAATTTCATCTCAATTAATTTGAGATGAGATGAGTTGCACTCTTTAAAACATTTCAGTCCGCCTTACATGAGGCCAAATCTTGTCTTTGTTCATAACTTGTAACTTCTAAATCTCAATGAATTAACCCCCAAAAAAAAATTGCCAAGCATTTACTCTGTACTAGTCCTTGCCCTCAAGAACCTTACTCTCTAATAGGAGGAGACAATACACTTAGGGGAGTATTGGCCAGGGTGTGATACTTTGACCCAGAATATTACTGGGATGGTGAGTTGGAGTCAAAGGGGAGTAAATTGACCTACCATTCAAGGAACAGTGATCTGATCATGCATCCAGAACTAAAGGGAAGCCAGACACAGCAGCAAGATGATTGGTGGGTAGATGGCTTGGGGTTGAGAAGTAAAGTATGGCCTGAAGTCACAGACCAGGAAAGGAACTCACCCAGAGACTTTAGAACCTCCAGGTCATGGTCACTAGTTGAGGGCAAGGTGTCTGGCAAGTAGATAGCCAGGGAATAGGGAATAGTCTCCAGAGGTGGAACCTCAGAAATTCAACAGGAAAGAAGAATCGTCTAGTGGATATAGGGCTGTATTTGGAGTCAGAGAACCTGAACTCCAATCCTGGCTCCATTCACTGCTACCTCTGTGGAGTTGGGCAAATCACTTCACTTTTTGGGTCTCAGTTTCTTCATCTGTAAAATAAAGGAAATATACTAAGATATCTTTCAACTCTAAACTTTCATCTCAACATTTAGTGATACTTTTTTTTTTTTTTTAGCAAAAGAAAGTTTCATGTGGTAAAAGATGCTTTCTAAGGGATCGAACAAGCTGGTCTCCATAGTGATATGAGTCATATTCAAAAGAAATCTTGAGGTTGAAAATGTAGTATCTTCACTGATCACTTGCAAGCACAGAACCTATCACACTCTTTGCAAGTATTAGAAATATATCAGAGTGGAAAAACCCATGCCTGCATAATTAGCATTATCACCCCTTCAGTCTATTAATCTGTTCTTACAAAAGGAGTATTGTTTTTGAGTGCTGACCCTGTGATTTCTTAGGTTAAAGAATATATTATTGCTCCTGCCTACCCAATATGGGCAGGATTTGACCACTAAGGGACAAGACTTTTAAAAGGAAAAAGCAGCACTTTGATAGTAACTTTAAGTGGATATAGTAAATAGCTATGGGAATACTACAGAATGGGAACCCAATGATAACCATGTGTAATGGAGGGAATTTGTCTTTTGAACCCCTAAGCAAACATTTCAGAAAAGTTCCTTTGTCTTCTCTTGATAACAACAGCCTTCACTAATTTTACCAGGGGTCTCTTGGTACCATGGAGGTGACCCACCGTGGGACCATGGAGGGACCATGGAGCTCTCAAAGCTATGCTCATGGAACACAAGCTCTGGCTGGTTCTATCAAACTAGAAAGATTCTGATGGAAGTTCTCCACTCCCCCTCCCTATCTTCTGTGACTATTCAGATGGATTTGGAAGACTTGGCTGCCACTCCTAGTTCTGCTACTTAGTAATTGTGTGACTTTGGCTGAGTTACTTGCCATCTCTGAGCCTGACTCATGCTCAACCCCTGTTAAAGTTCCATTTTCGAACAAAAGGAGAGACATCTGTGGGTCATTCAACAGTTAAGAAAAGGAGGTTTTTACTTAGCCACAGCATAGAAAGGCTATTCAATGCTACAGTACTTAATTTGGATAGCTTGCCTCCATATGGAAACCATCTGGTCAACAGGGTATGGTATGGTGACTCTTTCCAATTTTTGAGACAACTGCCAAGTCTGAAGAGCCCAGACTCAATGTGGGTGGGCCTGTAAGGCCAGAGACCACCAGAAAGCTATTTCAAAGATGGCACAACTTAAGCCTTAGTCCACTAAGCCAATTAAGTCCTGGGGATAGCTTTGTTATTTTGGGGGGAGTAAAACTAGCTTAACCTATAGGAAAGGGTGGAGAGAAAGAGGAAGAGAAATCTGGTAGATAATTGACCCTATCACACCAGTTAAAGTGCTTTCTAGAGAATGCAAAGACCTGTAAATTTTCTGAGAATTCTAACACTAAGCCATAACCCATTAAACACCCTGTTTCTCAGTTTTCTCATCTGTATAATGAGAGAATTAAATCACGGTATAAACTAAATACAAAAATATAAACTAAATCACCCATAACTTAAGGGTCTGTGAACTGTTTAAGAAATATTTTGATAACTATCTCAATATAATGTTTTCCTCTGTATTTTATATTATGCATTTGAAAGTATCATTTTAAAGAGGGTTCAAAATCTAGAACTTTTCCTACCATACCATGCTGTCTTCATTGACACATAAGGTCCAGATCAGTAGACATAATAGCCCTGATGGATCCTTTCTTGGTCTTACCACATTTGTAGTGTTGTGTGTTCAATCATGGCTGCAATGTTTTAAGAGCTGCAATAAACGAGAGAGTGTCCAGAGACTTACAAGGATAGTAAAGAGTCTAGAAATAATGTCATGTGAAGCATAATGAGGAAATGGGACATGTTTCATTTGGTGAAGAAAAGACTTAAAGGAGATTTGATGAATGCCTTCAGATACCTTAAAATCCGTTGTATGGAAGAAAGAATAGACTTAATTCTGTTACTGCAAATGGCAAAACAAGGATCAGTGAATGAAAGGGATAGTGTGACAGATTCTCACTCAAAGTTTAAAAAAAAAAGACATTTAGATAACTAGAAATGTCCAAAACTAGAATGTACTATCTCAGAGTAGTAGGGTATCCTTTTTTTTAGGGGAGGGGGGAGCTAGGCAATGGGGTTAAGTGACTTGTCCAGGGTCACACAGCTAGTGTTATGTGTCTGAGGCCAGATTTGAACTCAGGTCCTCCTGAATCCAAGGCCGGTGCTCTAGCCATTGGGTCACCTAGCTGCCCCTGGGTATCCATTTTTGGATGTCTTCCAGCAGGCTGGATGATCAGCTCCTTAGAGAGAATACAAAAGGGATTCTTGAATGATAGGTTTAGTTAGATGGGCAGCTGTATGGCACAATGAAGTCAGGAAAACTCATCTTGCTAAATTCAAATCTGGCCTCAGACATGTACTAGCTGTGTGACCTGGGCAAGTCACTTAACCCTCTTTGCCTCAGTTTCCTCATCTGTAAAATGAGCTGGAGAAGGAAATGGCAAACCACTCCAGTATCTTGGCCAAGAAAACCCCAAGTGGGGTCACAAAGAGTTGGACACAACTGAAAAACGACTTATCAGCAACAAAGGTTGAGTTAGAATAGATGACCTCTAAGGTCCCTTCTTTCTCTAAGAGTCTATGATTCAAGACTTGCCTTTGCTGTTCAACTAGCTGTGTGCCCCTAAGTTAAGCAGTTTAAATCTCTGAACCATGGTTTGCCTGTCTAGAATGAGGAGGTTGAACTCTTAAGATCTCTCCCAGTTCCAACAGTCTATAAACAACTTAAATTTTAAGTTTTACCTTTATTTCTAAGGGATTAAACAATTTTCTAGCAAGTTGTTACCAGGAACAACCCAAGGCATGTTCTTTAATATTCTTAAGGCTGCTTAGATCTAATAATACTTAAGACAAAGCCATGGTATAATACCGTCTTCGTGCCATCACCAGAACCAGAAACTGAATTCTAAAGCATTTATCATCTGCGAGGAAACCCTGCTTCTCCCATCCATGTAGCATTAACCTTGGAAAGAAGCCTTTATATCATCCAGGAAGAGAAATGCTCTGAAGTACAGAACCTTTTTGTGTATTTACTTTCACAACCAGATCTAGATTCAAACAGTTCTGCCCTTTGTTTATTTCCAGGTGATGGAGCCAATGATGTCAGCATGATCCAAGTAGCTGATGTTGGTGTGGGCATCTCTGGTCAGGAAGGCATGCAGGTAATATCTTTGACCAGTATTTCTAGGGAAACAATCAAGGGATTGTCTGTGGGGCTTTTGTTCTGAAAGGGCTGCTTCTTAACAGTGAGCAATTGAAGAAACCATTGAAAGAATCCTATAGGCTTCTCCATTGGACTTTGTGCAGATGAGATGAAATGACAATTTGCATTTCTTCTCAAATAAACAAGTTTACAGCCCCCTCATATAATAAACTGACTTAGGCTATGAGAGGTAAGAAATATAAAGTTCTGACATAGTTAATCCTCCAATTTGCATATTTTCCATAAATATACAAAAGGACATGAGAGGCAGGGAGGTATCTTAGGTAAAGTACTACCCTTGAGGTCTGAAAATCCTGGGTTATCGCATCTCTGACACAGACTGGCTATGTGACCCTGAACAAGTCATCTACCTTCTCAGTGCTAAGCAACTCTCTTTTTTTATTTTTTATTTTTATTTTTTGGGTTGGGCAATGGGGTTAAGTGACTTGCACAGGGTCACACAGCTAATATCTAAGCAACTCTCTTAAGACTATTAAGTTACAGGAAAGGTGCTAACTTGTATTGGAAGAGGGGATTTCCTCATCTGATAGTTTGACATACCAATGAAATCACAGGCCCAGTTCCCAGCCCTATCATATAAAAAAGTAAAGCTACCTATATCTATGTGTGTTATTGTACAGTGGGCTATTCTAAAGGAAGGCTTTCTCTCTGAATTATGGCTCTTCCTTTGAAAGCGTATTTAGCATTCCTGGGATCAGAGTAGAGATTTGAAAAAAATGATCTCTTCCATGATTGAATATGACACACAGAGAGCTACTGGCCACTTTGACTTATGTAAGGATTTGTTTGACCTAAAAGATTGCCTAATTTCATTATCCTCAATTATAGTGGGCTCATAGAATTATAATATGATAAAGCTGGAGGGTACCATTGAGGTCATCCAGGCCAAATCCTTTTTGGGGGTGGGTCTAGGCAATGGGATTAAGTGACTTGCCCAGGGTCACACAGCTAGTAAGTATCAAGTGTTTGATCTGAGGCCGGATTTGAACTCAGGTCCTCCTGACTTCAGGGCCGGTTCTCTATCCACTGCGCCACCTAGCTGCCCCTAGTCCCCTCTTCTTAACTTCCCTATTACTGCACCACTTAGGGTACCACCATCTTCCTAGTCATCCTTGCCATCTATGTATCATCCTCCGTGCTACACTCTGTTTCTTACCCCCACCTCCATCTGGTCTATCATTGGTCAACTCCTGTCCTTTCTACCTTAGGAACATCTCATTTCTCTTCTCTGACACTGCCACCACTCTGGTGTAGGCCCTCATAACCTCACACCTAGTATAGTAGGCTGTTGATTGGGGTCTCCCAGCCAGAAGTCTCTCCTCCTGCCAATCCACGCTCCAGTCATCTGTCAGACTGATCTTCCTAAAGTATCTTTGTTGTTGTTCAGTTGTTTCAGTTATGTCAGATGACTCCTATTTGGGATTTTCTTGGCAAAGATACTAGAATGGCTTGCCGTTTTCTTCTCCAGCCCATTTTACAGATGAGAAACGAGGTGAACAGGGTTAAGTGACTTGTCCAGGGTCACATAGCTAGTAAATGTCTGAGGCTGGATTTATACTCAGGTCTTTCTGACTCTAGGCCCAGTGCTGTATCCCCTGAGCCACCTAGCTGCCTTCATAAAGTATAGCTCTGACCATTACCTTCAGGATCAAATATAAAACCCCCGGTTTGACTTTCAAAGTTCTTCATAACCTGGGCCTTTCCTACCTTTTGAGTCATCTTACGCCTTACTTCCCTCCCCATACTGTCATCCAGCGACACTGGCTTTCTTGCTGTTCATTGAACAAGATGGTACATTTCCTGACTCTGATCTTTTTTGTCTGCCGTGCCAAGAACACGTGTCCTTTTCCTCGTCGTCTCCACCTTCCAGCTTCCTTCAAGTCTCAGCTAAAGTCCCATATTTTCCGAGAAGTCTTTCCTTCTTAGTCTTAGTGTCTTCCCTCTGAGACTATCCCCAGTTTATGGTGTGTTTGTATATGTATGCATGTAATATATGTGAGTGTGTGTGTGGACATAATTGTTAGCATGTTGTCTCCCCATTAGAATGTGAGCTTCTAGAGTTCAAGGACTCCTAATTTTTGTTTATGGAGGGGATTGTTTTGCCTTTCTTTGTATTCCATGTTTAGCAATGCCTAGCACATAGTAGGTGCTTAATAAATGCTGACTGGCTGACTGACAAAGAAACCAGCGCACTTAGAGCTCAAATAATTTACCTGAGATTATCAGGCAGTTAGTAGCAGAGCCTGAATCCAATCTCCTGAGAGTTCACACATTACACTAACTCCACGTGTGGGATTATTATCTAGGAAATTCTCCGTCCTAGGACAGCTTCCTCCTGCCAAAAGCCAGGCCACAGCCTGACCTTTTGTTATCTGTTGATTTGTCCTCAGGGAAGTCTGATTACATTTAATGGACACAGGGAAAAAAAAAGCCATGGGCAGGAAAGCAAACATACTACAGTAAATCCTAAAAGAGAAGGAGGTATTATAACTTTGTGTGCTCTCGCAGATTTTGAACTATTTACTGTCAGAGAGAATTGACTATAGTGTACAGGAACCAGAGATTAACCTTTCCATTGGTTGTTGCTCTGGATAGGATAGGTCAGTAGTATTTCCCACCACTCACAACAGCACCATCGTGATAAGATTCTCCAATATTCAACGTTTAGACTTTCAGGTTATTTTTGAACTTTTTCACTTTTGACTGAGTTTGAAAATATCAATGTAACCTTACTTTGGAAAAGTATGTACAATCCCTGCCTTGAGAACTGTATAACCAAGCTTTTCTATGGTACCTACAGCTGTCAAGAGAGTATAGGCAAGACTGGAATGAAAACAGACCTTGTGGGATGGATCAGACAACAATTTTTTTATTCTCTTTTATAAAGGCGCACACTTATTTTCACCCCTTAGGCACTAGTTGGAGACAATAGAATCAGTTAAAATATAAAAATTTAAATTGACTTTCTATGGTGCTGTGGCCCTATAAGGATTACTAGAAAGTTTTTCCTACCTTTTTCCCCCCCATTTTGTTTGTTATTCAAGCAAAGAAATTCATCATATTGGGCGTATTGAAGAAATTTGGACAATAGAGGATTCCTTTTATTGGTTTCAGAATAAGGAAATACAGCACCCTGTTTTGTCAGCTTGGTTGTTTAGGATATGACACTAATGTGAAGTGTTTTATTACTGATTAAAATTTTAGCTTCAAACAGAAGTCAGTGTCGCCCTGCTGGAATGCAAGCCTGCATCCAAATGACTGCCTGAATAGTGCATGACATTCAGTCACAAGAGACAGCAGTTGACTGGTAATCCTGAGGCCTGTGCTCTATTCCCACCTTGGCCTCCAGTTGGCTTTGTGACCTTGGGCACATGATTTCCTCATGTTTAAAGGAGGGAATTGGACTAATGAGTTAATTAACCTTTTTTTTTTTAATTTTTTATCATGGGTCCCTTGTCAGAATGTTTTTAAAAACATAAAACAACATACACATGATTACAAAGGAAATCAATCATACTGAAAGTTACTTTTTTTTTTTTTTTGAAAAAGAAATTGACAGACTTCAGGTTGAAAACTCTTGGTTATTAAATGATCTCAAAGTTCCCTTCCGTTGCTGAGATTTTGTAAACTATGTGAATCCATCACCACTATTAAAAAATCAATTTGGGAGGGGCAGCTAGGTGGCACAGTGGACAGAGTACCGGCCCTGGAGTCAGGAGGAGCTGAGTTCAAATCTGACCTCAGATACATAACACTCACTAGCTGTGTGACCCTGGACAAGTCACTTAACCCCAATTGCCTCACCAAAAAAAAAAAAAAATCAACTTCGGGCAGTTAGGGGGCACAATGGATAGAACTCTGGCCCTGAGGTCAGGAGGACCTGAGTTCAAATTAGGCCTCAGACCAAACACTTGGCACATACTCGCTGTGTGACCCTGGGCAAGTCACTTAACCCCAATTGCCTAAAAATAAAAAAAAAATTTTAAAAAATCAACTTGAAGGACACATTTTACCCATGAGAAAGGAGTCATCTTCATATAGAAAAGATAATGTTTTACTTCTTATTTCAAGAGAATAACTAGATATATCAAAGTAATAGAATATCCTGAACCCCAAATTTGCCTCTTTTAGATATATTTGGTACCTTAGAGGAACTAAGACCCTAAAAATAATGTTATTCTTCTGTATACTATAGCCAGCATTTTCATGTATGAACAAAGCAGTTCTTTAAAAAGTATTTATTGTGTACTTCTTAATTTTTCTTAATATTTGTATCGTTTTATTTGGCTATTGCAGGAATCTGTTTTTCATTTGTCATACATAATTTTAGACAGTACAGTGATTAGAATTCACTTTCTATGCATCCTTGTTCTAAAGTAATTCACTAATAAGGACGTTAGCAGGATAGTAGAAAAATAAACTTTTCGTAATTAGATTTGCATTCATGTAAAAAAAAAAAGAGGGCTTCTGCTGGGTAGAGGCAGTGTTCAGCAGAGGCCAGACAGCTGCCTTGGATTCCGAGTGTGACAAATATGGACTGGGTAACCCTGCTCAAGTCACCCAATTAATCAGTCAATGTCCCAGACAACTTAGTTTCAGAGAAGTTGCCTGTGTTCTCTGTAGGGGCATCCCTTCACGGATGAAACCACAAGTCCAGAAAAAAGGTAAATAAATGTAAACTTTTTACTGCTTGTCCTGTGAAGTTTCCTTGTTGGAGGCATGTAGCCAACATGATTTTCAGTTATATAATCCGGTATTGATTTTGACTCTTTCTCTTTCAAGGCGGTGATGGCAAGCGACTTTGCAGTCCCAAGGTTCCGACAATTGGAGAAACTTCTGCTTGTTCACGGACATTGGTGCTACTCCCGACTTGCTAATATGGTGCTTTATTTCTTCTACAAAAATGCGGTAGGAGTTTGCCTTGGCTCTCAAAGGACTCCAAATGCCTCCTGGGTTTATTTCATAGGAAATATAGATTAGGTCACAACCTGAAAACTTGTTTATAAGCAAGGAAGCAACAGCTGAGAGAAAGCTTTCTGTCACCCACAGGCTGAGAGGACCTAGTACAAAGTTAGGTAGCTTGTTGTTGAATGTGAAAATTAAGTGATGGGAAAAAAAATATTGTCTTCACAAAGGTTTCTTCCCAGGGCATTCAATACCTTTCATATAAATCTAGCTGACTAGATACACGAAGTAGAAATGCCAAGATTTTTCTGTATTGTTGGGAGGAAGGCAAATGGATGCTTTTCTCTTTACCTAATTTCATTTTACAATCTTATACTTACTCAAAAGTGCTATCAGTAAAGAGGATCAGTGATTTGGAGGTCAATGGGACCTCAGAAGTCTTTTTCTCTGACCCCCTCATTTTTACAAATAAGGAAACTGACCACTACCACCCACTTCCAATCCGTCCCGTCCTCCCCCCCGTCCACTTCAGAAAGAGGTGATGTGACCACACCAAAGTTATGCAGCGAGGAAGTAGCTTGAGCTGGGAGTCAAGGTCAGGTCCCTCAATCTCCAAAGCCAGCCCTCTTTTCAGTACACCATGTTATTTAGGGTCTTAATTTTTTCACATTGGGTGGTTGGGAATAAACTTTCTTTCCTCTACATTTTTCCACATTTCTTCAAGCAGATGAGTATAACAGCTATTCAGAACCAAACAGCACATGTCTAATTTGAAATGTTTGGTCCTAAAAATTAATTCAGATGAGTTTTCTGTTCCTTAGAGCACATTCTCAGTCTGGGCCATTACATCCCTTGGTGTTCTCTCCTTGTGTCACTTAGCAGTGGCTGCTCATTCATTCATTTATTCAGTAATTCAGCAAATTCTTATTGCATACTTACTATGTGCTACTTAAATGTAAACTTATCTTGAAACCTCTCAGAATGAGAAAAATTAGATGATATTGCAGCACTTGACGAGGATTCTGAAAACCAGGTTTTTTACTCCTGATCTATGTGACACCTTGCTCTCTGGCCTCAGTTTCCTCATCTGTATCATGCCAAAGTTTGTCAGGGGTGGGGAACCTGCGGCAAGGCCACAGGTTCCCCAGCCCTGGAGATGATCTCTAAGGTCCCTTCCGGATCTAACATTCTAGGGGGGCAGCTAGGTGGCGCAGTGGATGGAGCACCAGCCCTGAAGTGAGGAGGACCTGAGTTCAAATCTGGCTTCAGACCAAACACTTGACCCTTACTAGCTGTGTGACCCTGGGCAAATCACTTAACCCCAATTGCCTTTAAAAAAAAAACAAAAAAAAACAGATCTTACATTCTAGAATGCTCAATTAAAATTCCACTGACTTAATGTAGGATAAAGCCTAGAACATTTAACTTACAAATAAAGGCTTAAATGTACCACTAGGAAAGGAGTCAACCTCCTCCCACCTAAGACAAATGCTCTATTCAGTGGGGATGACAGGAAGGGGGAAAGAACTGGCTGTATGTTTTTTTTTATATGTTTTAGTGGCTTTTGTTAACAAGTGCTTAATTGACTTGAGGAGTTCAAGGGTAACTGCTTTGCCTCCTAGAATGAGGAATTCATTAGTTTCAGAAATAGGCTTGCTTCCCTTTCCAGAAAGTAGCAGAAGAGAAAAGTTTCCATAGCAACAAAAGTATGAGAAGGAGGCTTTTTGGTACTAGAGAAAATTCTCAATTATCCAGGTTCCTGCTTTACCTCTTTCTCTCCTCAATAAATGGTTCATTAATATCTTTAAAGGAAGGGACAAGAAGGAGAAGGAAAAAATAGATGAAATCAAAATCCATCCATTTTGCAACCACTTAGCAGTGTGGGCTAGGGCAATGTTCCGGGACTAGGAAATTTAAGCTATTGGTTAAAATGAGTTTTGAAGATGAATGGATATTTTACTGTAATACTTCACTAGACTAGTCATCTCAACAATGTCAGTAGCCTCTAGTTGTACAGATGGAAACTCATACACAGTTTTTCATCCTGTGAAATTTTTGTCTATATGCTCCCATAAATCCTCCATGGAAGATGTACCTATAGCACTGGAGCCCATCTGCTGGGATTTTTTCTTTATTTGTTTTTAAGCATTTTGTGGGTGTCATTAGGCTATGCCTCTGTCACATCCAGGCAGCTTGGTGACACAATAGATAGAGTGTTGGACTTAGAGTCTAAAAGATCTGAATTCCTGCCTCAGACACTTATTAGCTGTGTGGCCCTGGGCAAGTCACTTAATTTCTATCTACCTCAATTTCCTCATTTGTAGAATAGGGATGATAATAATAGCACACATCTCACAAGATTGTTGGGAAGATACAAAAAGAGTTTTTGCAAACCTTAAAGTGCTGTATAAATACTACCAATTATTGTTATCATTATTATTATTATATTATCAGCCCTTAGTCTCACCATACATCCTTTTGTTCAGCATTATTCTTTGAATGGCATCTCATTGTATATATTCCTTATTTTCTTTTTTTTTCACTTTTATTTTTTTATTAATTTATTTTAATTTATTAACAATCACTTCCATAAGCATTTGAGTTTTAAATTTTTCTCCCCCTGCCTTCCTCCCCAAGATGGCATGCAATCTGATGTAGGCTATACATATATATTCCTATTATACATATTTTCACATTAGTGATATTGTAAGGGAGAATTAGAACCAATAGAAGGAACCGCAAGAAAGAGAAAACAAAACAAAACAGAAGAAAAAAATAGCAAATAGTATGCTTTAATCTGCATTCAAACTACATAGTTCTTTCTTTGGATGTGGATGGCATTTTCCATCATGAGACTTTTGGAGATGTCTTAGATCCTTGCATTGCTGAGAAGGGCTAAGTCTGTCAACGTTAGTCATCGCACAACGTGGCTGTTGCTGCATACAATGTTCTCCTGGTTCTGCTCACTTCACTCAGCATCAGTCCTTACAAGTCTTTCCAGGTTTTTCTGAAGTCTGCCTGCTCATCATTTCTTATAGCACAATAGTATTCCATTACATTCATATACCACATCTTGTTCAGTCATTCCCCAATTGATGGGCATTCCCTCAATTTCCAATCCTTTGCCACCACAAAAAGAGATGCTATAAATATTTTTGTGTATGTGGGTCCTTTTCCCATTTGTGTGATCTTTTTGGGATACAGCCCTAGAAGTCATTGCATATATTCTTGATTATAATAACTTACATTTATATAGCAACATACAGTTTTTTAAAGCATTCATGAACCTTCTCTGATTTGATACTTAGTGCCACTTTGGTGAGGGAGACAAAGCAGGTCTTTTTATCGTCATTTTGGAGATGAGGAAATTGTGATCCATAAGTTAAGTGATTTGTCCAAGATTATATGGCCAGTGAGTAGAGAAACAAGAAGGAGAAAGCCTTAAGTCTTCTGACTTCTGGTCTGTATGTGTTTCTAGTACACATTGCTGCCTCTCTAATCAGGTTTCCCTTCCTAAAGTTACTCATTCTCAACACTGCCCCCCGGGTACCGATTAAGTCAGTGATATGTAATCTCATCACTAGATTTCCTTGAATGTCCCTCTCTAAGTTATATTTACAACATAAATTTACCAGTATTCCTTTTAATAATTCCTGAAATCCAATGTGTATGTATTTGTTTTTAGCAAAATGATATGTTCTTTTCCCCTCCTATTTACTCCATTTATGCCTCCCCCCATCACTTAAAAAAAAATTTAAATCAATATGACGAAAGATAAGAGTCTTAGCAACGATATATCCCATGAGGGCTGTTGTCTCAGTAGGTCAGTATTTCTATAGTGCTTTAAGAATTTTACAGAATGTTTTCCTCATGGTCCCGTAAGACAGGCACTGCAAGGATTTATTTTACAAATGATCAAACTGAGGTTTAAAGACATGGTCACTCATCAAGGCTCACACAAGTGAGCGAGTGAGTGTCAGAGCTAGGGTCAGCTGTCTTGACTCTAAGACTCTTTTCATTACAATTATGAAAAAAGTAATGCCTTTGCTTAAAGAGGTTGAGTCAAAGGAAAAATATAAATTAAGAAGGAAGATAAAGGATCAAGAATATAGTCAACTTAAAGATGAAATAAATGGCTTTGTCCATTGATTAGAATAAGCTATTTCATTACCTGTAAAATGGGAATAATAATACTTTTCACTTCCTGTCTTACAGGCTGTAATGAAGTTATATAAAAGCACTTTGTAACTATAAGGTTTGTATGTGTTTTCGCTATTCATAATCCCTGCACTCAAGTTCTCCTTGATGTCTCTTCCTGGCATGGAGGTGAACTCGAGTTCTAGAAGGTTAGACCAGTTAAGGACAAGTTCTAGGAAGGACAGCCAAGCTCAAAAGGCTTCAAATTCCAACCAGAGAAGAGACATTTATGTTTCTTGTCTAAGGATCACCTTGCTTAGTTCAGAGAGATTCACCACCATGTTGGCTTCAGGGTACAATTTTTTTTTCCCCCTTAGGAAATTCCTGAAGACAGTCTATAAAGTTGTAATGGAGTAGGAATCTAGGTCAATAGAAAGAGTAGCCAGTGAAACTACATATCCTTGAAATATTGAAGTATTCATAAAAATTATTAGATTGTTATAAACATATGGAATACCTTTCTTCCAATGTCCTTCTTATCTAATGGAATACCGTTAGTGTCAGTGTCTTTTATTCTTGCTGAAATAATTGGTTATTATTTAGCCCCAAAGGCCTCTACCTCTCCTAATTGCCAATATTTTCTCATTGCTACTAATTTTAGAATGTTATGCTCTCTCATTTGCCTGTGGATGGTGAGTGATTCTTTTACTTGTCTGTGAGGTTTTTTATTCCTAGAATGACTTTGAAGATGCTTAATGAAAAGTATTGTTAAATAACTGAAAGAAAAGTTGGCCTTCTTATTAACCAAAAGCATATCCATCTCTTTTACGTGCAGATGTTTGTGGCCCTTCTATTTTGGTACCAGTTTTACTGTGGATTCTCCGCGTCTTCCATGATTGATCAATGGTTTTTGATCTTCTTTAATTTATTGTTCTCATCACTTCCTCAATTAATTACTGGAGTGCTTGATAAAGATGTTCCAGCTGAAATACTGGTTACTGTACCTCAACTCTACAAAAGTGGACAGAACATGGAGGTAAACCTGGCTTCTTCTGTATCTTTACCATCTGCCCCCATTGTCCTCTTTGACCCTTGATTTGAGAAAGGGCTGCTGCCTGTAGAAATACTCTCTTCCCTAGAAATGGCCACATTGTACCATACATTAAATCAATCAGTCAACAAGCAATTATTAAGCACTTACTATAGTAAATGCACTGGGGAGACAAAGATAGACAAACATAGTTTCTTCCCTCCAGGAGCTCACATTCTAATGGCGGACACAACATGACAATGACTGCGTATAAAAGGCATCTGACTGGAGGGAGCAAAGGGGAAAGGGATTGTTTGTTTAATCTTGTGGTATATTAACATAGTCATGGAAGTTTGTACTGGGCCTTGTGCCCAAAATATAATAGAAACCAGAATTGAAAGTCCTGTGATAACTAGACAGTGAGCCTAAAAGAAATTCAATATACAGTCACACTTCATTAATTCAGATACCATCACAAACTTCAAATCCAGTTATTCTTAACAAATCAATCTCACCTAGTCACTCAAGCATATGTCTTAAGGGTTTCTCCTGGGGAGCACACCTCATTGGCTTGGTTTGAGTTCTATAATTCAGACATTTCATTAATGAAGAGTCGTTTTTCCAGTAGACCTGACCACACTTCTCTCTTTATAGTCCCATTTTATATGATTTTCATGGGAAGCTGTGTCTAACGGAGTGTCTCTGAGTGTATTTACTGTAGACAGACAGATGCTTGTACCTAATAATATGGAGCCTGGAAGAGGATGTAGGAGTAGCTGTAAGAAGAGGAGCATGGATCTGGTGAATATAAATGTGGCCAATATAGACTTGGCAGACCAAAGAATGACTTTGAGGACTTAACAGATTTTTTTTTAAAACCATCTGCAAGTCTGTATCCAGATGCAGACTTTCTTTAAGAAGCTGGACATTGATTTCATTTCATTCTCTGGAGAAGTGGCTATGTTATATTTTATCTTTGGGACACATTCCCAACTCCTTTTGAAAGTCAGAGAATCATTGTTAATGCTTTCATCTTATTTTTCCTATGAACCATCCAAAGTTCTCTTTTCTCTTCCAAAACCATTGATTAACTTCTGTGTATGCACACCTGTGTGCATGTATGTATCTGTCTGTCTCAGTGTCTCTTTACCCTTGAACTAATAGTGTACTTCTCTTTTGACATTTTCCTTTTCTCACTGGGAACAGACTTCCAGGCTTTACCAGATCGTGAACTTTTCAAAGTTACTTGGACTTTTGAATGCCTATATCCACAAACAAATTGAATGAGCTTTAGAGAATGCTTAGTAATTGCTAAGAGTTAGCCAAAACTCAAACACCCACTTCCCTACTTTGTACACTCCCATGTTTTGTTGTTTGTCTTTTGTTTTCGAAGAAGACAACCAGTGCCATTGCAGTGTTGGAGTCAGGGTATGGTGTTGGGCTGTGGCAGAAGGCATGACCACAGATCTGTCTATTAGAACATTCAGAGTGGAATTGGTTCTGGATTTGTGAAGCTCATTTTCCTTTGTGTTCCCATAAATATTTGTTGATTGTCTGGCAGTCTGACAAGTTTCTTCTCTAAGTAATACTTTTAGAATCACGCATTATGCAAAGAAAGGTGATAAACCTTTTTCAGGGCTGACAGAAGTGGTACCACAAACACCCTATGTGTTAATAGCAATATTTCCCTACTGCTCTTCTGTATGCAGCTTTGAATTATGAAATGGCATGATCTCAGATTCAGATTTGCTAGTGATCCAAAGGGCCACCCAGAAAATGCTGGGTGGGTGTAAGTAGGCTGCCGAAGGTTATAAGCCATAAGACACATGCAAAGTGGCATAAAAGATATTATAAGCATATAACCAGAAAATGAGGCAACTCAATCATGTAGCAACAATGAGAAATGGCAGGCTCTGTCCTACCTTTGGTACCCTTGCTGTATTAATTAATGAATGGAAAGCCTTTACTATATTCAGTGGGTCCTCTTTAGAGTATTTATGGAAAGACAGGGATAAGAACCACCAATCAGTCAACAAGGATTTAGTAAGCACCTCCTGTATGCCAGGAACTGTGCCAGACACACAAAGAAACAATCTCTACTCCCCCAGGTAGCTTCCATTCTAACAAGGGAGACAAGGACACATAAAAGCACATAGAGAATAAATATAAATAAATATAAAGTAGTTCAAATAAGTTAGTTGGGGAGAAGGGGAATAACAGTTGGGAGATCTGGAAGGGCTTTGTGGTAGAAAGTAGTGTTTGAGCTGTGTGTTGTTGAAGGAGGATTCTAAAGCAGAGATGAATAGGAAATGCATGCCAGGTGAGAAGGGTGGCTAGTACAAAGATGGAAGCAGGAGGTGGTATGCTGTATCTGAAGACTAGAGAGGGCAATCCTTGTTGAATTATTACAGTAGCTATCAGTTAAATTAATAAACAATTAGGTTCAGACCAAAAGTATAGATAAAAGGACAGTGGACAGGACTATCAAATGATAGTCATCTAATGGTGGCCTGCTCAATGTGGCTGAAAAGATAGGTTAGGACCAGGTTTTAAGGATCTTTTAAAACTTACCAATCAGTTTATATTTCATCCTAAAGGCAATGGGAAGCCATTGGCCTTTACTGAGTGGGGAAGTTATGTCAGACCTGCATTTAAGAAAAAACACTTTGGCACAAGTGTGGAGGATGGGCTGGAGTGAAGCAATTAAGAGACCATTAAAATAATCTAGGTGACAGGGCTGAAAGTAAGGCAGTACCTATGTGAGTGATGTTGTAGGGGTAGAAATAGCAAGATTCATCAACTAATTGGTGTGCCAGCCGCGCCGTGCACTCTCCTCCTATAAGGAGCAGGCTACCAGAGTCATACTACTTACCAGTCTTCGGTGCCCACCCGGATAAACACACAGAGACGAGCCGATCAGGAGGTGCCAACGCTGGAGCTTTATTCAGAGGCCATCACAGCAAGGCCAAGCAGGAAGGCCATAGCAAGAGAGCAGGAGCAAAAGAGAGAGCGAGCTCCGATCCCTACTGTTCCTTGAGTACCTACCTAGCCCCTCCTCCCCAGCCCACCTACTACTCATTGATTGTAGGATCAGATACCGGAAGGGGATGTCTGGGTTTAGCACACCAAGGGAAAGGAAGTGACGCAGGAGGCTAGGACTGGATACAGGAAGGAGGGGTCTGTACCTAGGGAGAGGACGTGACCCAGGAAGTCAGGCCCAGATACCGGGAGGAGGTGTCTGGGGTCAGTGCTACACAAAGGGAAAGTACATGACCCAGGAAGTCAGGAAGGAGACGTCTGGGGTTAACGTTGCACCTAGGGAAGAGGACTAGACAAAGGAACTCGTTCTCTGCCGTCCCACTGCCACGTGGCACAGCCCCCTGCCTCAGGAGTGTGAGCTCAGGTTACTTCTCCGTGTCCAGTTCCCATCCCAGTTCACCACAACTCCGCCTAGCACAGCCCCTGCCTCGGGAGCATGAGCTCCGGTTACTTCCTAATACCCAGTTCCTACCCCATCTTGCCACAACTCTCACTTGGCAGTAGCCAACACCAGACAATCCCTCACAAATTGGGTATGTAGGGTGAGGGACAGTGAGGAGGTGAAGATAATGCTGAGGTTACTAGTCCAGGAAAGTGGAAGAATGGCAGTACCTTTGACAGAAAATAGAAACATTTGGAAGAAAGATGGGTTTGTGGAAAAAGGCAAGTTCTGTTTTGGACATGGTAAGCTTGAGAAACCTATGGGATGTCAAGATAGAAAGCTTTGCACTGGTAGTCCTGCGCCAATGTGATCATAGACCCATCTAAAGGAGAGGGAGAGAAGACTTGAATAAAACATTCTTCTTGTTTTGGAAGTGTGTTGCCTTTTATACCCTTCTCTGTGGAATTCGGTAGCTTTTTACAAACAATAATGGCGCAAAGAGCATGCATATTGATTTAGTGAAAGACATTATTTCTTTTGCAGGTTTTATCTTCCCAATGCTAATATATCCTGGTGTGCACATGCACAGAGGGAAAATAGTTTTGCTTATAAAACCATCTGTTTTAAAATTAATAAATGCTGTCTATTGTGTGTATGTACATATGTGTATAAACCTATACATATGTATATATATATATACATACATATATACATATACATACACATAATTGATTATAATGAGAATAAGCAGCAGCACCCTTCAGTTCATCATCCCACGCTGAGGACTCAAACACTCTGGTCAGACATCATCAATGGATACTGATTGAGTACTCACAAGATTCATGACCCTAAGAGATACAAGGCAACATCATTGTACTTACAGATAGGTTCTCTAATTCACATTTGAGAATAACCAACTTCAGAAAGTGTATCTCCATCTTGGACGAGAGGCTGTGAATAGATTGAAGGCTGCACTGAATCTCAAATACTGTGGCCTTGCCAATAGAATAGCTGATTCTTCTTTTGTTGAATTTGAATGGATGCCAAGAAAAACCATTGACTTATAGCTAGGAAAAGTTTGGTTAGAAAACTCACTTCCCACTAGAAATTAACACTAGGGATTAATACAGGATAAGTACCTACAGCCTTACAAATACACCTAAGAACTGCTGAGCTGCTGTAAAGAAGTGGGCTGAACTAGAAATTACAAACACTTCCCTTTGTGCCTAATTTCACTAGAGATGCAGTCATGTGAATCTATCTTAGGAGCTGTTTACAGTGAGTGGTCTCAGTTAAACCTGTGCTTTAATATGATTCTATAAAACTTCAATTATTGTTTTGAATCTTCCCTATCTTCATCATGACCATGAATAAAAAAATAGCACCATCCACTCTGGTTATACATACACACACATATAACTGACAGATCATTCCATGTACCTGCCATAGCTAATGGCCACCAGATTCTCTAATAGTCCTGTACATTGTCCTTTTATTTATACTTTTGGTTTGTTATTGATTTAACTGATAGCTATTGGATTAATTCAGCAAAGATTTACTTATTAAAGGACTGCCCCAGGTCCTA